GAATTTCAGTAGGGAGAAATGTAAGGTACTGCACTTAGGCAGAAAAAATGGAATGTGTAGATATAGGATGGGGGACATCTGGTTTAACAAAGACTACATGTGAAAGGGATCTAGGAGTCCTAGTGGACCAGAAGTTGAACATGAGTCAACCATGTGGTGCGGCAGCTAAAACGGTCAATGCAAATCTGGGCTGCATCAGTAGAAATATAGTGTCTAGATCAGGGGTCGGCAACCTACGGCCCGCGGGCTGGGTCCGGCCCCCCGAGGTCTCTGGACTGGCTGCGGCCGCGGCAAACGTTACGGCCACCATTTTGTTTTCCAAAATGGTGACTGCGACTCATTTGCGCATGCGTTGAGTACTGTGCATGCGCAAACCATTTTGGAAAACATTTTGGTGGCTGCGACTCGCTCGCGCATGCACAGTACTTCTGCGTACTGCATGTGAGCCCGTGTGCCGCCATTTCCCCACCCCACCCTTGGCCCGCGGAAGACCTGGAGGCCAGCGGACCGGCCCTAGGTAAGAAAAACTTGTCGACCCCTGGTCTAGATTAAGGGAAGTAATAGTGCCACTCTATTACATAGATAGGTAGTGACTTGACAGATGACACATAATTAATGAATGTTCAGAAATTTCTGGGTTCAATATTATGTATGGTACTTCTCTCTGTAAATGTAGTATTATTATGAAAATGGTATACCTAAGCTAGAATGCTTTTTAAACATAAGTATCTGGAGTGCAGTGTGTTCACACACTAGTCTTTTAAGTGACTTATATTTGCCACTTCTGTAGAGAGATGATGTAATGTGGATTCTCTTGAAGGTCTTGAATAAAGGAAGTCATTGTCTTGACTGACCTTCCTTGATGTTGTGGCTAGAGTGTATAAGTAATTCTAGTTAGGTCCTCTTAACCTCAGCTTACTTCCACTTGTGCCTGTTTTTAATTGGTTTCCTGCATTTCCTTAAAATGGTATTTGGCAAAAGCAAAGCAGAACTCTTTATTGTTTGTTCAGACTTATGGTATAATAAAATAACAGATGCGTATAGTTTCAACCAGTAGAAGATCCTATTGTGGCTGTTGTGGCAGGGATTTAGGAGTGAGAAAGGGATCTAATGGCTTACTTTTTGACATTTGTCATGAAATCTCTAAGCAGAAGTCCAGTGTACCTTCTGGTTGCCATTGTTCTTTTAAATAAAAGTACTTTTTGTTTTAAAAGTCTGCAGATCCATGATTATCTACAATAGCTATTAGGAATTTTTGTATGTTGATCAGGCTAAGTTCTCTGGGTAGCTTACAATAAGAAAAAATAAACTAAAAATACATATAATGCAACTAGATCAATAAAAGAGAAAACAATGAAATTGAAATGAAATAAAAACAATGGGGAAATAAAGAAGTATTTAGTGTTGCTATGACATCAACGTAGGAGACTATCGCTCTACACTCTTAAAACGGGGCTAGGTCATTTTAACTGCTCTGGCTGCCTCCTGTTGCATTCTGAAAATTGTAGTTTAGGAAGGGGCATTTAAGAATATTCAGCCAGAGAGCCATTAAGCCTCACTGAACTACAAACCCCAAAATACATCAGGAGGCAGGCAGAGCTGTTAAAGTGACCTAGCCCCGTTTTAGACTGCATGCTGGACATTTCTCAGTTGGAGTTCCAGCACTGTGGAAGCTGTTTCCCCAGTAGCCTCCTGGCATGCCCAGGAAAATGCCCCAGTAGACAACAGGTGTATGTGAAGGGAAACATCTTTCAGGCATCATGGTCTCAAGCAATGAAGGGCATTAAAGGCCAAACTCAGCACTTAGAATTTGGCCTAGAAGTGGACTGGGATCCTATAAATTTGATAAAGCTAAAATATGATAACCTCTTATTACCCAGTCTCTACTACCCAGTCCCAAATAGACAAAGCACATATAATCAGCCCTCTATATCCATATATATATATATCCAGCAAGCAAACTGTGATTTTGTCATTTTATATAAGGGACACCATTTTACTATGCCATTGTATATAATGGGACTTGAGCATCCACGAATTTTGGTATCCATTGCGGGGGTGGTGGTCCTTGAACCAAAACCCAGTGGGTAACAAGGGCCTACTGTACCGAATGATGCTAATATAAAAGCCAAAGAATTGTCTGGGGTGTACTTCAATCTGTTTTTTGTTGGACATGACTTGACAACCTTGTCAACGGGGAATACCTTTACCTTTAATAGTTTAATAATTGTAATATATTAGCCCCTGTTCTGCATTTTTTTTAAAAAAAGAAGGAAAATTTGAGAGTCCAGAATGAGAGTATTTCTGAACAAAGAGTGATTAGCCACCAATTTAAACACTTTGATTGGGATTTCAACATGATACAGATAGAAGGGTTACCAGTACTGTCACCTAGCATAAATTATTAAATCTTACCAATAAAGATGTCTACATCCTTTACCTTTTCATGTCTGCCCAGATAGTCATTTGAAAAAGAAAGGCTCCAGTATCAAATAGTTGTTTGACAATTAGTATGTAGTATATATAAGGAGGTTGATT